AACTAGAGCCTCGCACACTAACTCCTGAGTGTGCGATGCAAAATTAAAATGAGATACCCAGAAACCCGTCGCAGGTGCCCTGAAGTCCCTGACGCAAATTTTGAGGAATGTATTGGGAAAAGTATTTGGAGGAGACCAAATACATTTGGTTGTATTTGTATCTTGTACTTAAATGCTAGTTTCGAATCGTAATTAGATTTGTAATTAAATACATTTTTGACGAAGTATTTTGTATTTGTATTTCGAAACATATTTGCATGTTTTTTCCCATCCCTGTTTCGGTAAATACCGCTATAGGGTTGATCCTTGACGTTCATGACCGACGAACCCCGCATTAGTTTTACGCTCACCCAATTGGAGTCGTGGAAAAAAATTACAGAAACACGAGCAGGGTTCAAACCCCCCAAATCGCAGCCAAGCAGCCACGTGATCTAGCCAGGTCAAATGGTGACAACATTCATCAGAGCCAACCGCGCTAGCCATAGCAAAGTGCACGAGCTCACCTTCAGACATTAGGGAACCGCCCAGAATTGAATGTCTAAATAACTTCTCAAATATTGTTTTATAAAAAAATAATTTTATGTGTATTACAAGTTACTATTGCGTCCAGCATCTGCTGGACGCAACAAACACCAAGAGTCACCAGAGGGACCATCTCGCACGCCTGATACACAAGGAGATCGGTGAACGCGGGAAAGATGTGGTGGCTGCCCGCCTGCGAGTGAAATACCTTCCGGAGACCCCGACCGCGCAGCACGGCCCGTACAAGGGCGAGCCCATTGAAGAATTAGACAGAGACTTCAGCGTGGAAGAGATCAGAACAGCACTGCACGAACTCAACAGCAGGTCGGCACCGGGCCCCGACGGGGTGTCGAACCGCGCCCTAAAGAATCTCGATGACCGCTCAATGGAACAGCTACAGACTACATCAACACCTGCTGGCGGCGAGGCAGCCTCCCGCGCCAGTGGAAGACTGCGAAGATGATCCTAATACCAAAACCCGGCAAACCACCGAGCCTCGACAACCTCCGCCCCATATCGCTGACATCGTGCGTCGTTAAAGTCATGGAGCACGCACTGCTCAACCGTCGGCAAGTGTACCTGGAACAAAAAGGGATCTACCCACCGTCCCTCATAGGCTTCCGCCAAAACCTCGGCACGCACGACGCCATGTTACAATTAAAACACCAAGTGCTGGATAACAAGACCAGGGGAACTAGGGCGATCCTCGGACTCGACCAAGAAAGCGCTTTCGACAAGGTCGTTCACTCGGCGATTCTGCGACAAATTTCACAACGAAACCTCGGCCTGCGCTCTTACAACTACGTGAAAGACTTCCTGACGGACAGACGCGCCACACTAATGGCAAAAGATCTCCAACTGGAAGAGCAAACGTTGGGCAGCGCCGGCACACCGCAGGGCTCGGTCATCTCGCCCACACTCTTCAACCTGGTCATGATCGGGGTGGCAGAGAAGCTGCAAGACATCTAAGACGTCCGGCACACCATATACGCTGACGACATCACTCTCTGGGTGCACAGAGGCAGCGACGGTCATATCGAGTCGACGCTGCAGTCAGCAGCTGACGCAATAGAGGCCCATCTTCAAGGCATGGGCCTGCGGTGCTCGCCCAAGAAGTCAGAACTCCTGCTCTACCGCCCCGCACAACGGGGCAAACTTAAAGCCCGAAGAAACTATGAGGAAATCAGTCTACGCACGAGCGATGGCACGACCATCCCGACAGTCCCCAAAATCAGAGTCCTCGGCATGATAATCGAAGCCACGGGTCACAACGGCGGAACCATCACCAGACTAGTACACAAGACGTCCAACACCACGAGACTCCTCAAGAGAATCACCAACAGAAGGAGCGGAATGAGGGAGGAGAACCTCGCGACTCGTCCACTCGTTCGTCGAGTGCCATATCGCTTACGTTGCGGCCTTTCACAACTGGTACAGGAAAGAAGAAGACAAGATGAACGTCCTCATACGCAGGGCATACAAGATCGCCTTGGGCCTGCCGGAATCCACAAGCACAGACCGCCCGCTCCAGCTGGGCATCCACAACACGCTGAACGAAATCGCAGAGGCACAGCGCACCTCGCAACTGGAGAGGTTGTCCGGCACGAACGCTGGCCGCCGCATCCTCGAGAACCTCGGCATCGGATACCACACACAGCAGGGCCACAAAGTCACCATCCCAGTCGCGATCCGGGAGACAATAAGAGTTGATCCGATCCCCAGAAACGATCACCCGGAGTACAACCGAGGCAGAAGAGAGGCCCGAGCCAAGGCTCTCCTCAATGCCCACAGCAACAATGTGGGTACGCGATTCGTGGACGCCGCCGAGTACGAGAGAGGCTCCCGATTTGCCGTGACGGTCGTCGATTCAGACGGGGAAACGAAGATATCAGCAAGCGTGACATGCGAACGCGCCGAAGAAGCGGAGGAAATAGCAGTCGCCCTCGCCCTTACGGACCCGGCGTCCAACACAGTCCTCTGTGACTCGAGACAAGTAATCAGAAACTTCGCCAAAGAACGGATATCGCCACGAGCAGCCCGAATCGTAAGCCAACGCCAAGTCCACCGAGAACCAGAACCCCCAACCCGACTCTTGTGGTTCCCCGCACACGTGGGGGAAGTCTCCGAGGAGCATCGTAACGGCAACGAGACGGCACACGCCAGGGCGCGCGAGCTAACAAACCGCACCGACGGCGGTCGTCCGTGGTGCAGCAGCAAGGACCGTATGACGGGCTACAACGAAATCACCAAGGCCTTCCGCCTGGCCCGACGGACACTCCCTCCGCCCAGCGACAAGCTGGACAGGGCACAGGCGGTCGCATTCAGACAACTGCAGACGCGCACGTACCCTAACCTGGCACAGTATCACAGAATGTTTCCCGAAATATACACGACGAACACGTGTAAGGTCTGCCGCAAAGAGGTAGCCACGTTAACCCACATGCTCTGGGACTGCACCAAAGACCCGCAGGGTGCAAACTCCGGAACCCTCCCGCCGCGGCTGTACGCTGCCGTGTGCAGCCCCAGCCTCGACGATCAACTCTGGGCCGTCCAGCAGGCCTGTGAGGCGGTGAAGCGGCAGGACTTCGACGCCCCTAGACGGGCGAAGAGGACCAGCGGCAACGCCCCCAAGCGGGTGACTATGGCCCGGTCAGCGAAAGCTCTGCAGGCATTCCATAAAGTTTTTACCAACTAACCAACCATCGGGGAAGATTTTTAAAAGCTACGTAACCAACATAAATAAGATTTGTCACGCTCAAGGGGCCTATATTTCATTGAAGAAAACAGCGCTTGGTATAAATAAGCCTTTCACTAGTTTTTTTTTTGTTTTTTTTTCAGTTAACTTTTTAATTAGAAAAAAATAAACATATAGCTTTATTTAGAAATTTTCTGGCCATTGTTGAAAACTTCTATATCAGTCGCTATTAGATAAATTTGAAGCGCGTGCTTCGGTTTTCGGGGTCCCGAAAATGCATCCAACTTGGACACTTCTCACGCGCTAAAAGTTTTTTTAAAGCTTAATCGTTTATGGCTGTTCGATGACACTCAGGAAATTTCAAATTGAAACCATACGTTTTTCTGACCAATCGAAAGGTAATAAGTATAAAAAGATAATTACAAACTTCACTATCCGAAACTCATGTACCTCATAAAGTTGGCCCGTCAGCAGTGACGGGCCAACTCATTCTTGCTGTTGCTTTTTGTACGCTGCGTAGTATTCACAAGAAAATGTTGGCCGACATTTGATGAAACACCCGATATACAATATATATCTCTATCTTGTGACAGCTTGGTTCTGGTTAAAACCTGAACATGAAAAAAAAAAAATACTGTTTAACCGACTTTGAATAAGTGGAGCGACAAGCTGATTCGCGTATCGCCTACCTCTTCAAAGTAAAAAAAGCAAAACAAAGTCGCCTGGTTTAGACATTGCGTCAAACGTAATAAAGTTGCAACAGCACTTGGTCTTTCTCTCGCTTAACGAGCAGCACTCGCTATCAGAATGATATGTAATGGGACACGTGGAGAAGAAATTTCGAATGCATAAAGACCTTGACTTTTTCATCATTCATGCACCTCTTCTTTGAGGGCGGCGTTTTCTCTTAAATGCTTCTGCGCATACAATCTGGTCGTGGAATGCCTCCGCGCGTACCAGATTATTTCTACTAGCATGCCGTTCCTACCCTACTACGCAGCCCCCGTTTCTACGCAGCGGAGGGATGGGAGGAGAAGGGAGTGTTAGCGCAACTACGAAGACCAGTGAGGTCTTCATAGTTCTACCAAGGAGCCAAATGTGTAAACTGTAAATACTCAAGGTAAAAGCCCCATGTTCGACAGTATAGCCGTCGACCTGATTGCCACCAGACTTACAGGACAAAACAAGAAAGCAGAGGCCGATTTCGGGTTCGATTTTCATGACGTCCGCATTCGCTTTAATCGACTATCTCGTCCATTACTAACTCTCGGAGTGCGAAATAGCATGCAAACGGTGATCAACGGTATATGTCATTGTGCGCAGTTTCCATTCGCAAACGTGGTTACACTTACCCCTTTCAGGGCAATATTTAAAGTTAGTTTTCTAGCTCGTCAATTGAGTCTAATCTAACCAGATTCGTTCCGATCCCGAATAAAATAAACACGAAACCTTTAAAAGAAGAAAGATGTCCATGTGAACGTGTAATAATTATCTCAACCGCGGCTGTCTTGTACCTCTCAATTCACATCCGGTCGCATGATGCCAAGATAAAACTTTACGAGGTTACGGCTCGTACTAACGGAACCGACTTAAGCTACACGGTCGCCCATTTAGGCGTCGCGTAAGCAAACAATAAACATATTCTCCTCCGTCGCGAAGCTTTGCCGGGAATAATGACAGGTCTGGATGCGTGACCAGCGTTATAATCTTTATGACCTCTGTACAACTTTCCCTCTTTCCTAATGAAGCACTTATAAGCGACTCAGAAAGGGGATCAGGGAGTGCTCGCTTCATTTCGGCAATCTAGGTCTAATAGCAGCAGCAGCTGAGCTGACCATTCGTCGGGAGTCGACGCAAATTTGCTTCGCCTTCACCGTGCTGAAACCTACTTCAGCTGGCAAACAAGTAAGCGCTATGATTTCTTTCCGTGTCATCACCGGTCTGTGGTTCTCGTTTACCCTGGTTACTCGCTTAATCGCGATGCGCCGTTTATGAACAAAGCCCACTCGACTACGTTTTCAGGGGCCAGTCATGCCGTTCTACTCAGAGTTAGCAAATAACGGTGTCCCGGTGTCCAGAAAAAAAGAGGCCGCATCTCCACGTGGTGAATGATGTTGAATTGGGGCGAAGCTCTGGTGGTGCTGATGATACTGATTTTATTGTTCATAGGTAGTGCTGATGGTGCTGATGTTTTTTTATTGCTCATAGGTAGTGCTGAGTTCCGGGTTGCGTTTCGACTTCATTATTACTGCTTTCTGGTCGGTGAAATGCAGAGCCAGTGGTTCTTCTAGCGGATCAGCTTGGATCCGCTAGAAGCCGTGGGAATGCATCTCCACCGCTTAAGTCAACGGTCCATGTCAGAAAGAAAATGTGTGGTATGGATCGTGGTTATATATGCATTTGAGCATTTGACCGCAGCGCCCTCTCGTCTATAAACGTTGAGCCAATGCATGCAAAGTTTAACGCGATTATATACGCATTTGACCGTAGCGCCCTCTCCTGCATAGACGTTGAGCGCCTGCATGCAACGTGGAGTGTAGCGTACGTAGTGCAATAAAGAAAAAAAAGTGGAGTGTAGCGTAGTGGTTAAGACCTCTGCCTCGTAAGCAAAATTCCTGAGTTCAAACCCCCGTTTTTTTCTTGTTTTTTAAGTGGGCCGATTTTGGAGGCAGTGCAATCGATGTGAGCACGGACGCCGGACGGACGGACAAGGCTAGACCCTAAGGAGCTTCGCCCCTATCACTCTAAAAAAAGTCCGTGCGTCTACTTTCCCGCACAACACCCGGGGAGCCAATCACCGCAACTTACGGAGGCAGCTCAGCGAATGACCCTGCCGAAACATATGTTTAGACCAAAAAACGCAGTCTGAGTTGTGATATTAAGCAATGCAAGCGTGACGTTTTGCATTGCTTAATGTCACAACTCAGACTGCGTTTTTTGGTCTAAGCATATGTTTCGGCACCGTCATTCGCTTAGCTGCCTCCGTAAGTTGCGGTGATTGACTCTCCAAGTGGTTTGCGGGAAAGTAGACGCACGGGCTTTTTTTAGAGTGTAAAAGATTCTCCCCGAAAGAGCGATCTGCGCAGAGAGCATTTTCGCGTGACGACGTTATCTCTGCCCCGTCGTTCGCTGGGCTGCTTCTGACGATCGCAATGATTGGGTAACCGCGAGCTCCGCCGGAAAGCGGACGAGCAGGCTTCGTTTAAACAGAACGTCGATTACTGGAGTTATTGCTCTGTATAGACCAGTGTCTGCAGTGTTCCATGGGTCCCGCCACGTTCGTTTATGCTGACGCTATGACAGAGCAGGGGGGGGGGGGGGGCTGCACTTTTTGCGAGACTTCGTTATTTTCAGAAGCCTTCGCACATATCGTACTGCAAGAACGTCAGAAATGCATAGTCACGAAACTCCAAGAACAACACTGATGCCAAGAGTGTTGCAAAAAGCAACAATCTTTGTTTTATGCTCAGCCCCCCTTTTTACAAGCGCCTGCGTTTGTGATTATTATTTCCCATTTTTATCCCTGGTGGGGGCTAGGATTTCGGACACTGGTCTATAGACACTATAGCTTCGTTTATATTTACCTGCACCTCCTGCACCGGTGCAGAAACGCGTAGGGCGGTGTGCTTCCGGTCGTATGTCCATACGCATACCGGAAGTACACTGCACTACACTTTTCTGCACCGGTGCAGGAGGTGCAAGAAAAATCGAACGAAGCTACTGACACCTTAAGAAACAACGCGTAAGTGTGGCCTATTAGCGTCATCAGGCTTCTTGCTTCGTGATTGGTTCTCCGGCGTCCTTATTGGCTAATGCCGCATCCTCATTGGCTGCGGGGCGATAAGAAGATGCTTCTGAAGTTTCTTAATTAAGCTGCCAGTGACTATACGGAGCGCAAGTTCGTCTGCTCCATGCGCAGGAGTTGCGGTGACGTCAGAACGACGCCGAGCTCTGATTGGCTGCGTCTGGAAGGATAGTGGGTAGACCTCAATGCTACTTGCCTTGAGGTCTACCCACTATTTTTCTAATCGCAGCCAATCAGAGCTCGGCGTCGTTCTGACGTCACCGCAACTCCTGCGCATGGAGCAGACGAACTTGCGCTCCGCATAGGAAACTTTGCACGTTTCGATGCTTTTTTATCTGCATAGCTTCTTTAAGCTGATAACTCTTGTGTTTAGAAATTAGAAAAAATTAAAAATAGCATGTTCGGTTGGCACACACATACAAATACATTATAAAAAATCTATACTTAAAAGAAAAAAGAGTGCGACATGCGAGCACCTGCTACGCCGTTAATGAAGTTTAGTTTTCTCTTTTCAGTGACCACACTGCTCAGTATACGCTCCCGTAATTCCCGTTACACCGATACCTATTAAATTGTGTGTCCCGCTGAGCACCTGAGAAGTCTATAGTTAAACGTCAGATGTATATCTAGGCAATCGTGTTCTCAGGTATACCTCCTTGGAAAACTCACTGTTATTCCAACTCCCTGTCAACTTTCAGCACAGCATGTCCCCCAAGAAGTTGCCGGCGTACCAGGTCATAGATGGTCTCAGGGTGTCCACCGTCTTCACCGAGGAAATGATTCGCGATGCTCTTAACTTTAAGACAGGCCCCGGCGACGTGGTGCTAGCGACGTTTCCCAAGTGCGGCACTCATTGGTTGCAACAGGTCGTACAGCTCATCATGAACAAGTAAGACCGGTGATGTTTCAACCCAGATTTTCATTCTGCACCTCCATTTGTTTACGTTTGGATAGATAGCAGGAATCCGTAATGTGAACTTTCCGTTCTAACCCGCAACACTGTTCTTATATTATTGCTCGGTTTTAGGGCTTTGAAGTCTTTTGTATCGCTGACTGACTATACCCGCCAATCCGTTCTGTCAAAAAAAAAAAAGAGCAAAGAAATAAAGGCATAGTATGTGATATAATGGCTGCACTGTATCGGTTAAATCTAGCACTTTTGGCGGGATGAGCCCGTGTGTTTCTGACCCATGTACTCAACCCTTATATTTCAAAGTTCCATGTTTTGGGATAAATCCGAGACGAATCCGAAAAACGCTCACCGGTGAAGTTTTTATCAACTGTGGTTACCCGAAAAATTCCGAAATTCGAGGTCCCAACGAGAAAAAAAGAAAAAAAAAAAGATGGTGTTTTTCAGATAAACTGTGTGAAGAGCACGGGGCCAGTGGTCCTGAGGAAATTACACTTCAGTTTTTCTTTTAAATATCGAAGTACTGGCAAAGGGCGTTTGCCTTTTAGCTCGTTCAGGTTCCTTCAGGACAAGGAGTCATGGTACTTAAATTTTATTAATTTTGTTTTTGGATTTTAAAACATGGGAATAAAATAAAATAAACTCAAAATTTTAGAGATTGAGAATCTAAAAAAAAAAATAAATAAACCCCGAAATTTTTCAGAAGTATAAACTCGGAAAAACACCCTCCGAATTTCAGGAGAAAAAAAACTCCGAAAACATGGAATCCTACTTATATTATATGCTATAATGAAAGTTCCGTGTTTTCGGATAAATCCAAAGAACTCCGAAAAACATCCGCCGGTAAAATTTTGGTCGATTCGGATTTATCCGATAAAATCTCCCCCCCCCCCGCCCCCCCCCCCCCCCCCCCCACCAAAAAAAAGTCAATTAAGACGGCATTTTACAATTAAATTTGATCAGCGCACAGGGTCAATGGTCCTGGGAAAATACCAATAGAGTCATCTTTCAAATCACGGACCATTTTAAAAAGGGGTCTTAGGGCTTATCTCGTCAAGGTTCATTCAGGTCAACAGGTCATTGTACTTTTGGGTCACGACAAAAGCTACTGTTTTGGTTTCCGATTTGGGCCATACTGTTTGTGCTCTAGAGGAAAGAGAGGTTGTGTTTTTGCAACAGGGAAAGCTACGAATCATAAAGATTGCATAAAATGGGGAAGAGGGGCAAGTCAAACCTCTTTATTACATTCTTTACCACTCTACCTCGCGCTGCCCCGCGGGTTAGGTTGATGGAATAGGATGGTATGAATACGAGCTTCCCAGCGACTACCTCCAGGATTTTAGACAAAACCCCGAGACTCGCGGGAACTTCCTTCCCCCCAATCTCGAGGTGTTGTGAAGATGTTAAACCTTCACCAGCTTGTTTGCGCCCTAACTTTTTGTTCGTTAATACCTCCAGGAGTTTATTTATTTTAAAGAACCCCTGAAATTAAAAAGAATAAACATTTTTGTAAACAGCATGGTTGGGACACGCGTGTCGAGTAATACATTTTACGTGAAAAACATTTTTTAGAGAAATGTTGACGTCGAGAGATTAATTTGAAGTTCTTAGCGTGAAGTCCATGACGTCACGGGTCATTCCAGAATTGCCATCTCGGTCGTGAAGGCGAAGCCGATCCACCTCTCCTCCACTACGAAAAACACACTCCGTATTTCATGAAAAATAAACTACGGAAACACGGAATCTTAGATGCAATGTGAAGATTTCTGCCGGCTTATGAAGGTATCCTACAATCTGTAGAATTCAAGTACTTTGTTATTTAGATTCTTCAATTTTGTGAGTTTAATTACAATCACTTCCGCTTACTCTGATATAAAGGGTAGCAGCACATCAATAATAAATTCTAGGACGTGTACGTATAACGATATTCTAGAATGCGCATACCATATAACTAAAATTTCCTTTCGTATGTTCTTCTTTTTCAGAGGTCAATCAGCTAATGACTGGTCTGAATTCTGGAACGGAGCACCAGTGCTCGAAATGGGCTGGGCCAAGACTCTGGAGAAGATACCTGCACCCCGAGTGATGCAGACGCACATTCCCCTACATCGCCTCCATTACAACCCAGCCACAAAGTACGTGTACCTGGTACGAAACCCCAAGGACTGCTGCGTCTCTTTCTTCCACCACACCCGCATGCTCCCGGAGTACCAGTTCCAAGACGGAAGCTTCGATGACTTCTTCAAACTTTTCCTCAAGGGCGAGACAGACCACGGAGACTACTTCGATCACGTGATGTCCTGGTACGCGCACAAGGACGATCCGAACGTCTTTTTCTGCACCTACGAAGACCTCAAGAAACACACCCGCGACGTGGTTCTCAAGCTGGCTCACTTCCTCGGTCAGGAGTACGGCAAGTTGCTTGAAGAGAACGAGGACGTCCTCAACCAAGTGCTGGAGAAGAGCAGCGTCCAGTTTATGAAGGATGCTTTTGATTCGTGGAACCAAAAGTTAGAGCGAGCATTCGCGAAAGACTCTAGCGTTATTCCAGAAGGAATGAAGAAGTTTTTGCTCGACGACTCTGGTAAATTCGCGGCCAGCAACCTGGTACGCAAGGGCGAGGTTGGTAACTGGAAGACGCTATTCTCTGCCGATCACTCCAGGAGACTCCAAGAAAGGATAAATGAAAAAACGAAGGGTTCCGACGTTATGAGCCTGTGGGCCGTATGCGGCCAACCCCGTGCCTCCGAGAATGAACGGCAAAAGGCAAGGTAATCTGACCTCTTGCCTTTTGCTCCCCCACAGTCTTACTGCTTCTCACGAGAGCGCTTACAAGGAGCGGATTTTCAGTGACTCCCGATGTGATTATGCAAACGCGTCTTTCAACTGTATAAATAAAATGTTTATATCAACCTACACTTTCCCTTTTTCGTGTATGTGTATTTGCGTCTTTAGAGCCCTGCATATCTGTGATATAGCCGCGGATGTACGCAGTAAACTGGCGGATGCGGATAAAAATGAATAAGATTTGGTGGATTTCGGATTGGATGCGGATGCCAGGGACTGTGGATGCGGATCGGATGCCGATATCCTCGGGTCCGGATCTACATTTTTTGCCGAGGCGGCCCATAAACGTGTGACCATACAGTGTAGAGTGAATAGGTGAGGGATGCAGAAGCTTCCGCCAACATGAGTTTCTGTACCTCACTCTTGTAGCACCGATCGTACATGCCATCCCAACATCAGATGCACCATTGGAAAGAGACTTCTCATTAGCGGGCGGTTCTTAATTTAAGAGAGGCGAACTAGTCCGAATACGCCCATGCCGACGATATCATGTTCCTTTTACACAGCAATTTCGACAAGTTTTAAAACGTTGTGTGTGTGTTCGTTCTTTCTTTAATTATTATTCTTTTGACAGTTGGCAAGTTTAAAAGTATGTGAATCCGAGTATGCAGTTGACGGTTCGTGTTTAAAGCCGAAACCGATAGGAAGTGTTAACACTATTGAATATTGTAATATTTTCTTAATGGTGTACTCGCGCCTTATATACGAGACTTTGCTGCGGCGAGTTACCTCCTTTCCTCTCTCACTATTTTATTGTTTGGCTTACATAAAATGACGCAATGTCCTTGATTGATTTTTATGTTTAGAAAATATACGCCTGCTTGAAGTGGGTTCTACAAAGCAAATAGGAAAAACATTAAAATTGATTTCCTTTTGGGCACATCTTTTGGACACAATTTCAAGGCCCCCCAAGACGATCATCTTCCCAGCGATGCGAAGTTTCCCTAGAAGGATGATCGCTTATAATATAAATACGACAAAACAGATGATAAAATCCAGATAAAATAACTTTTACCGGATTCTGACACGAAACATCCCACAACGCTCACGTGAAACGTGACGTCACGTGTGGGATGAAAATTATTGAAAACATGACATATAATGCGAATTAAAGACAGCCGCATGTCTGAAATGATTTCACTTTATTAAGTAATTTATTTTCCTTAAAAAAAACAATTAATTTAGGCGGTATTCGAATCCATGACCCTTCTGCTGCGAGCCAGACAAGCTACCGACTAGGCCATGTCCGCTGTTCCTGCTCACTGGCAGGAAGAGCGTGAGAAGCGAATGAGGAGGCGGTGCGAACGGGGCCCGATAACGCTATCGCGTTCCACTCTTAAAGGCGAAGCTTAAGCGTCCTCAAAGTTTTTCTTTTAATATTCATGCATGATTTCATGATGTAAAATATAATGCGCGGAGTGCGGGTGAGATGCGCTTCCGAATTTTGCGGATGCGGTTCCGATGCGGATACAAAGTCTGCGGGTGCAGATCGGATGTCGATGATCAAACTGTTATCCCCGCAGGGCTGTTGCATCTTCTACCATGTAATATATGTGTATTAGACTGCCGCTATTTGTAAAACCAAAATTTGTATAAAGCGATTCGTTTAATGTTTGTTCATAATTTTGTTTGATCTGGCCAAGACGTCGAAATTCTATTAAAATATAATTGAATGTCCTCCAGAGTTATTTTCATAAATTCTCGAGTAGTTCTAGCTTCGGCAATCATACAAATTGGGACGAATTCGGAATATGGGTTGCATTTTCTATGCTAGTCGCAACTTGCTATCCGGGCAGCAGAAAGGATGGATGAATGAAGATGGTTGAATCAAATCAGATAAATTCACTGAACCGAGCGGTGGTTTATGTCGCTTAAGGCTGGTTCACAAAGCGCCGTTTTATTGCGTTACGAACAGGTTGGAGAATAAAAAAATCAAGGTGGGTTTAAATCGTGCTTTAAATCCCACCGTGTTTACTGTGATAATTTAAATCAAACCTTCTCCGCACAAATAATCCCCGAGATACTTATTTATCGCTTTCTTATTCTTTGATGGTTTCTTTGTGCATTTTTTTTTTCGTATTTAAATCGAAGAATCACAAGGCAAGAAAGATTCACTGTAGGCTGAATACGAACAAAGAAAATGGTGCTCCTCTAAGTATATCAGAGCATCGAGCTTTTTTTTTCTAACTTCGACTTCATTCGTCAGGAACGTCATGTCCTATTGCAATCAAGTCAGAATGCGGAAAAAAAAAACACGAAAACGTAATGTACTATTACAAGCAAATCAAAACATAAAAAGCGAATAAAGCGTTTTCTCTAGTTAAAAAGTTATCCTGCCTTTGTTCTGATATGGCGGAGTTTACATCAGTAAATAAATACCCTACTCAAAACACCTGCAAGAAAATCTAACTGGTCAAGCCGGTAACTAAGCTGGTCAAACTGGTCAATGTGGTAATCAAACTGGTTCAACTGGCAATCAAGCTGGTTTAAGCTGGGCAAGCTAGAATTTCAGCTGGTCAGTCTGGTTTAAGTAAAAACCAGCATGGTCTAACTAGAATCTTATTTAGGTTTAATCTGGTGTAGCTGGGAGCCAGTGTGCTCCTAACCGGTCAAACTGGTCTTCCATGGAGCCAATGTGGTCAAGCTCGGAGACAAGCTGGTGAAGCTGGTCAAATTCCTAATCGTGCTGGTCAAGCCGGTCTTGCTGGGAACGCGCACGCCAAGGTCGGCTAGAGCTGGTCGAACTGACCTTGCTGTGAACTCGTGCGCTAATGTCGGCTTGGGCTAGGACGAGGTTACTTCCTGTTCCTTGTCCTCTCGTTTTTGGTAGACTACCGGACGCTTCAGGCGCGCTGCGAGCTGCCTTTGTGAACGAGAAAAGAGAAAGATTGTGGTAGGAACGGAAAATCTGAGACACATTTGGCTAGCTTGGGCAGATTTTAAAAGGGACGGCTGTGTGCGCGTTGTTTGGAGACTATTTGGACGGCGGTGCGAGCGAACAGGGTTTTGAGGGGGCAGCGAGCGGCAGTCCATTCAAAGCGGGAGGAAGTCGGACGTCCCAACTGAGGCGTCGCTTTGTGTCTTCGAACGTGTGTGTGCTCGTGGATGACGGTGGTGGCGAGGAGTATCGCCCATGCCATCCCAGCTACACGGATTTATTCGCTTCTGCCGAGCACGCAAGAGGCCACTTCGCCCCCATTACTTGCGGGACCCAGGTTCGCTTCTCTCATCCGTGAAGCGTTTCTTATTGTTATTGCTTGTTTTTGGTGTGTTTCTAGTATTTTTTTGTGTTGATCGAGATAAGCAATCTAGTTTGAATAACATTTTTTTGCACCGAGAACTACTGTATGTGCGTCGGTTAGTACTGTGCCAACGCCGAGGATGTGTAGCATCTGAGCTCATATGAGCAGGCCGCGCGAAACAAAAATAACAAATTAGATGCCTACTGCGCTCTCCTGGAGAGGTTGGCTTATTCATTCTGTGTATTAATTTAAACTGGTCAAACTGGTGGGCAAGTTCACCAACTTAACCAGCGTGACCAGTTCAAACAGCGTGACCACTTTAAGCAGCATGCCAAACTGGGCATGCTGGAGCAATAAACAACCTTGAAGCTGGTACACTGGCACCAGCTTACGCTGTTTTTTTTTCAATAGGGTAGGTAAATAAATTGTACTTTAAGATCTTAAATTTACAGTAATCGTTTCTTCCGCATTATTTTCAATGATCGGACGCTTTGACCAGTCTTTAAAGTTTAAAAAATGCATATGATAAAGATAATTTTTTTCTATCTACAGTGATTTAAATCTAATTAATCTGATTTAAATAATATAAATATTATTTATTTTATTGAAAAAAACATCATTTCTTTTTTACTGAACGAATATTACGTACGCTTGCCTCAAGGTATACGACCGTACCGGCATATCCGTGCTTCGTATACCGCGTACCAAGCTACTGCTCTAACTGGTTGCAACGCTTATACTCCGTTTCACTTTACGTCAGGCCGCAGCGCATGCTACGAGCCATCGGAGCCAACCGAAGGCCGTGTGAGGTTCTTGTGACCTTCGATGGGAAGCGCCGTCCCGAAGAAAGCACATTCACGTGCTACGTGAATGCGCCGACGTAAGCGTACGTAAGCTTTGTAACAGACCGGTTCAGGCATCTGTAGCTAGTACTACCGCGTCCGTTGTGACCGGAGCGACTGGAACGACCGCTCTGCGCCGCATGTGCACGCTTGTAACCACTGGAACAAACGCAGCAACTCTGGCGGAGGGGGTTCAGCACGGCGGCCGCTTCTCCGCCGCCATCGGCTGTTTTCGCGGCGCCTCTGAAAAGAAGGGAACGCACTGCCACTTACTGGTGTAACAGAAAATGGACAGGCAATTTTGAATAGCCTCAAGTTTCATTTATTTTCTTTTTTTTTTTTCAGGATAGGGCTCGCCGGGCTGAGTAGATGAAAAAAGAAAACACATGCCGTACACCGTCTTAGAATATCACGATTTTAACAAGCAACTTTACCAATAGGTAGTACAAATCTTCCCACACGCTTATTTTACGATTATAGGAGACGCTGCAAATTTAGCATCAATATAGACCTAGAGTAATGATTTCGTAATCACACAGACGTTGCAAGCGTTCAGAAAGGCTGACGCACGATGAAAACGTGTGAAAATATGCCTCCTTCACACAGATTTTCAAAAGCAGTACGCTGCAGTAGTACCTTGAACTTGGGCACACGCATGGACTACGCAAAATAAGAAATCCGGGCAATGTTCGAGCACACAAATGCTAAAAAAGGGACCACTGGAGTCGAGGTAAACAAACACGACGGCACCAGCGTTCATCGCCGCACGAGTACATGGATCTTCTCGTCTAGGACGTGCTGGTTTATCATTGCGACACACGACAAGAATTCACAGGCAAGGACAGCGCTCTACGCGGAACGATGAGCTTCCACCACGCCGACTATGGTCGACCATCACCACCGACGCCATGTTTTTCAGCAGGCAGCAGGAACCACGATCGGCATGCAACGCGCGTTCTCCTCGACATATGATTGGGCTGTCGGT